TTACACATAACATTACTTCACAACTCCTACTCTTTCATTGCAAATCATTCTTTAATTATTCATAGCTTTTGAGAGCCATTTTTGTGAAGCTTGTGTTGTGTTCTTGAGCGTTCTTAGTTTACTCATATCCACTCTTAAGGAGAGTCTTGTTCTTGAGTGTCTTAGTGTTGTATACACGTTAAGGGAAGCTTGTTTCCCTTGGTTGTACGAAGGAAAGGTATTTTCCTTCGGGTTGAAGTCTTGGAGTGCGGTATCTCCGAGCAAGTGTTGTTGAGGCTCGTGGGACTCGAGTTCTCAGGTTGTAACGGTTTGTTAAGCACCCGTAAGCTTAACGGAAGTAGTGTAGCTCGAGAGAGTCTCTCGGGAGACTGGATTAGCCACACGTTGTGGTGAACCAGTATAAATCTTGGTGTGCTCCCTTTACGCTTTCTACGCTCTTTACGTTTCACGTTCTTAATTTTTTATTCCTGCGATTTCTACGATCAAACGCTATTCACCCCCCCTCTAGCGTTGGTCACTTATTCTAACAGGTTATGGAAGCTGAATGTGGCTCCTAAAGTTATAGTTTGTTTTTGGAGGGCCCTGCGGGATATTTTGCCGGTTGCATGTTCGCTGGCGAGTAAAGGAATACAGAGACTATGGCAGGTGTTGGGAGTCAAGGTTGTCAATAACCATGGCCTTTCTTTTGATTCGCTACTGCATTGGGCAGATTTTAACTTTTGCAGTAGGGTCGGAAGGGAAATGGACTGCGTGGCGGCGGGGATCTGGGCACTGTGGAAGGCGAGGAACATGGCCAATTGGGAGAGTAAGCTGCCGACAGTGGGTATCATTGTGGCTTGGACCAGGGAGGCTTTGGCCTCAACGCCATCAAACTGTTCGGGGTCGAAGGCACCTGTGACGGAGTCTAGAATCAGCGGCATTACGTGTTCGGTGGACGCTGCTGTGTTCGGGAATGTTCGGCGGGTGGGAGTCGGTGCAATCCTTAGAGGTGAAGATAGCTCTTTTATTGGAGCTTTCAACACTTGCATTAACTGTCCTTTAGAGCCACGAATTGCGAAAACCGTGGCGATTAAAGAGGCTTTGTCTTGGGTTAAAGACCATGGCTTCTCGGAGGTTAGTGTTTTGTCTGATTGTGCTCTGTTGATTAAAGCACTCAATAATCCATCGAGTAGAAACATCTCGTATTTGGGTGCCGTTGAGGATGCATGTAGATCTTTCGCTAGCTCTTTTATTTCTTTGAGGTTTTTTTACATTCCTAGAACTTCGAACGGTATTGCTCATTCTCTTGCTAGAGACGCGGGGGAGGACTAATGAGTGGTGGAATTCTCCCCCTTGACTTTGTTTCTCATTTGATTTGATGAATGAAAGTGTTTTTTAGTTCAAAAAAAAAGAAAGTGGATGAATGGATCTGATTTGTTTTTTTTAGTTAAAAAAAAAAGAAAGTGGATGAATGGATCTGTATGAAGTTTAACCCACAATTTATGAATTTAAATCCAAACCATTGATATTGGGAATACTGTAGAAAATTCTCCAACCCTAAACCGACCGTGTAGACTGTAGACCGGCAATACCTCGCCGACAAATCAACTGCAATTTCGCTCTATCTCTCTATCTCTCTCCAGGAGGTCAAATCCGGGGATATCTGCTGCAGAAGGAAATGGAGGGCGAAGATGCGAACCAGCAGCAGCAGCAGCAACAACAACAACAACAGTGGATGGCGGCGATGCAGCAGCAATATCAGTATCAGCAGCAGCAGTATCAGCAACAGCAGCAATGGATGTCGATGCAGTATCCCGCAGCCGCAATGGCGATGCAGTACGGGCAGCAATACGCGTCGTACTACCAGCAGCCACAGCAGCACTATCAACAGCCCCAGCAGCAGAAGCAGTCTTCGCAAAATCACACCTCCGGCGAAGATAACCGCACGATCTGGGTTGGAGACCTCCAGCCGTGGATGGACGAAGCTTATCTTAATTCGTGCTTTGCCCAATCCGGAGAAGTAAGCATAGCTGTTTCCGTCTTTATATTAGCTGTTTATAATTGGACATTAATGGAATGTTTAGTAACATCTGTTCATGACCTTACCTGAACCCTAAAGATTGTGATACAAATGTTTCTGCTAAATATAATTTTTCTTTCCAAATTGTACTTGAAATCATCTAGGTCAGCCTGACCGTTTGTACCGTATAGAAACCGAACTAATATGAAAAATAAAGGATCCAACCTCAACTGGTAGTGTATAGCTACTGCATAGTTGATTGATTGGTACTATGAAGCCCGGTCTATTGCTACGGCATAGTGTATTTATTGACTGATAACATTAATATAAATGAATTCTCATGATATTGTTCTATATCAACTATTTTCTGATTATTTTGCTAAAGTTTTTTTATGGATAGCTTATGCAGTAATTTGTTAGTGCAATAATGCATGACATGCTCTGCAGTGCTTTCAATGAATGTTGACATGTACTATTTGTGTACTCAAATGCATATGCATCTTTGCATAAATGTCAATTGTTTGCATAAAAATGGATTAAGCACTTGTAAATGGTCTTCACGTTTGTTGTTAAGCAATGCAGGTTCTTTCTGTTAAGGTTATTCGGAACAAGCAAACTGGTAATCCTGAGGGATATGGATTTGTTGAGTTCAATAGTCACACTGCAGCTGAGAATGTCTTGCGGTGCTACAATGGCACCATGATGCCGAATGTTCAACAACCCTTTCACTTAAATTGGGCAGGATTGGGCACTGGGGAGAAGAGGGCTGCAGATCCTGCAGGTTCTGATCTATCAATATTTGTTGGGGATTTAGGCCATGATGTCACGGATTCCCTGTTGTGTGAAACTTTTTCTAGTAGATATTCCTCAGTTAAAAGTGCAAAGGTAGTAATTGATACGAGCACTGGGCGTTCAAAAGGATACGGCTTTGTTAGGTTCGGTGATGAGAATGAGAGGTCGCGCGCCATGACTGAAATGAATGGTGCTTATTGCTGTAACAGACCTATGAGAATTGGGGTAGCAACCCCCAAGAAACCTTCTACACCACAACAATTTTCTTCACAAGGTAGGATTTTCTATTCCTTCTGCTGAAAGCTGTATCAATTTCAATTGTTCTGAATTGCCAATTTAACTTGTGAAACATACCCCCCTTGTTCATTCTAAAATTAACATACTCCCTTGTGTTTCATACTCCCTCCTTCCCATTGAATTCTTGAGGCACAATTTGCGATGTTTGACTAATGTTATTTTCAATTCATTTGTTTCAAGTATTGGTGTAAAATTTTACAAAATTTATATATTTGAAAACTACATTAAAGGATCTATGAAACAAGAGGTCACATGATAATATTATTATATCAAATGATAAATGATGTTTTTTAAGAAACAAAATTTAGTTTCATTTGTGAATAGTTATCATAGAGAATCCAGTGTTACGGAGGGAGCATTATTTATCTCTTCTAAACAAATCTCAACAGCACAGTTTTCATTTTCTCAATTCTTGTGCCCAATCAAAGTAGCCATTAATATATTAGGGATAAAGGGAGTGTTTGTTTATTAGAAAGGTGTTTTTATAAATATATTAATCTCTAGTCCTTCACCTGAGGAGTACATGAGCTCTTAGGTACACACATATAAAGGAATCTAACACAATGAACCTTTAAAAGTTAAAAGAGTTGAATTTAGGGAGAGTTAAGATGTGAAAACTTGAAAGATTAGAAAAAAACACAATGATTTCCTAACAAACAATTCTTTACGGACATTTTTTTTGCCATAACATTGAACAATTTGGGATGGTAGGAGTATATGTTTGTTTATTGAACTATTTAACTTGGAAAGATGCTTTTGATATTTTGTATTGATTGGTTCGATTGATGAGACATTTGTTTAGCTGTGGTTTTGGCTGGTGGATATGCTTCCAATGGTGCTATAGCCCAAGCCTACCAGTCTGATACTGATTTATCCAACACAACAGTAAGTCTAGGGAACTAGGTGACTTATTCATAGGCATTTTGCTTACTTACTAACTCTTGCTTCATTTTGTAGATATTTGTGGGAGGAATTGATTCTGATGTTACCGAAGAAGACCTGCACCGGGCATTTTGCCAGATTGGTAATATTACCTCAGTCAAAATACCCGTTGGGAAGCGATGTGGTTTTGTACAATTTGAAAGCAGGTAACCTCACAGTGCTAAAGTGAACATCCAGATGACTCATGAGAACTTATCTTTGTTTCATTAAAATTCTATTGCATACTTCATTAGGAGCTCTGCGGAAGATGCAATACAGAAACTAAATGGATCAGTCATTGGCAATTACACAGTTCGTCTTTCCTGGGGTCGAACTCCTGCAAACAAGCAGCAGGTATCTCTCATGAATGCGAGTTCTATGGTATATGAATTTTGTTCAAAAGGTAGTTTTGAATGTATGACTTTAACAGTTTAACCTCATCGTTTTTTTCTTTCAGGCAAGAGCTGAAGCTGATGGTCAATGGAGTGGGGATTATTCCGGAAGGCAAAGTTATGCTGGATATGGACACACTATGCCAAACAATGATGATCAGACTATGTATGCTGCCAGGGGATATGGGGGAGGATCTGCAAATGGGTACGGCAATCACCACCAGCCCTTGAACTGAACATTACTAACCGGTACTATCTCAGCAAAAACATCAACTTAAAGACATTGTTTTTCCATTCTTCACTTCCAGTTGAGATTTTTGAGAGTTTGCCATATCATATATAGAGTATCCTTTAACTGGATTTAATTGCATTAACCCTGCTAGCATGGTTCTGCTTACTTTAAATGTACACTTCTTTGACATTTGGTTCTTTATGCAACACGTGGTGTGGTAAACTGAGAATCTCTAGTGTCCTGGCATTATTATTTCTATAGCGGAAACTTATCTAGAATTAATTACTCCTAAATCACTCGATTATATCAAGGATGCAAGTGTAAGGAGAGGTGTGGATGTATTTAAACTGCTGTGTAGGTACAATTTGTACTCTTTATTTTATTTAATTAGATACATCACAATCACCCTTGCTCCAAAGTGATGTGTGCACTCTCATTTTTGTGGTCAAAATTTATAAACTTTAACTATGCTCTGCATAAAATATACATTAAAGTGTAACAAGGCCTTAACGGAGTCAATCTCATTTTAGAATATGGGTTTTATTTGTTATAGTGTTAGCCATTGTAAAAAGTCAAATTGTAAATTTTATTTTCATAACTTCATTGTTGTAATTGCATATTATGGCTAGCGATTTTAACACTTCAACTATTACTATCCACACTCTACTCATCCTTCTCTTGCATTTTTATCCCTAAAATGCCCTTGTGTGTATAATACCTTGAAGTGTTTTATTGTTCGTAGCTGTTAAAGTTAGATTACTTCATTGTTTAATTACTTAATCTATGCGTTAAACACTACAGAAAATACGTGCTGCATCTGCTTCTTTTTACTTTTTGGATCTATTCCTAAGTTATGCAAATAGCTGTGATGCAAAGAGTTCTTGCATCGGTGGTCAAACTGAGCAAGTGTTTACGCTCCTAGAATTGGTGCCGGGAAGATCTTTTGCATGGATTATTCCAAAATAACTGATGCAAAAGAGCTCAGACATTTTGCTCCAAATTCGAGAAGGCCTTTTGCATTGGTTATTCCAAAATACTCGATGCAAAGGCCTTCTCTATTTTGGACTAAATGCCTAGAAAGATTTTTACAATGATTATTTGTGAAGATGCAAAAGGTTTTATTTTTTTATAGCTTATTTTATTTTATCAAGTGATTAATATGAATAGGTTAAAAAATTAGATTTAATACAATATGAAGTAGTGTAAAGAATTTCATGGAATGAGAGGTATCAAATAACGTATAAAGTTCATATAAGAATTTCATATAAGAATATATGGACTTTTACTAATCAATAGAAGTCGTTCATAAAAAATTAATTAATGACTTTAAACTGTGTTTGGTTCAATGAATTTAGAAAGAAAAGAAAATGATTTTTCTCATTTTTTTTCCTTTTACTTTTCTTTTCTTTCTCTCTCTAACTGAACAAGAAATAGTATTTTCCACTTCATTGTTTTCTTTTTCTTTCAAATTTCTTGAACCAAACATAGTGAAAAGAATATGAATGAAAATCCATGACTTTATATTAGTCTATGGACATTTGAATAAAATGAATAGAAATTTTTGGCTTTAAAATATACAATGCACCCCCTCCCCATTTCTACGGTATTTTGTCATGAGACAAAAATGTATGTGTAACACAAGTCAAAAGTAGGACATTAATTGGCACAAAAAATTAGCCTATGTAAGATTTGGACCCTCATCATTCTATAGTGACACAAATATATCAATAAAATTAGTGACACAAATATATACATAAATATTAGTGACACAAGACCCAAAAAAATGCAGTGGCCCCTAATTTCCTTTGGTAATAAACTAGACTATTAGTCCTAGCAAATTTCATTCATCATGTAAAAGAAAAAGCATGTACAAAATTTCACATTGTTATGGGCATCGCTCCTATTATGCAACAATGCGTCTTCTTTTGAAAGATGCCATCTTGGGGCCAAGAACAACAATGTCGTCCTTTCTCCCACCATGATGATGACGACGACGACGATGATCTCTTAACTTCTTCTTCCTCCTCGTTGACCCAACACGCCGCCCATGAATCCGAACCCCAATTTCTCCTCCGCCCATACAAAGGCGGCGTTGGCGGCGGCGGCGGCTACGTCGGCCACGTTTGGAAGAGACGCTGACTCCACCGTTAGCGGCAAAAGAGCCGCCAAAGGTGGAATCGCCGCCAGATTCGATGTCGAGAAAGCGGTGCCGGAGGCGGTGCCGCCTGTTTACGCGCTCGACGTGTGTGAGTTTATGCCAGAGGAAACATGCCAAACACCCCATTGCAGACCAGTAAGCCTTACAAGTTGAGCAGTACACTCCGCAGATAGTCCTCCCTAAGCATTGGCATATCCCCAGTTTGAAGAACATGTAAAAGAACAACAAAGCTGCACAAGAAAAAAACATGAACAAATGGGGCATCAGAAAAAGAAAACGAAAGCAGAAACAGAGACTAAATTACAAGGGATTAGTCTCACAAAAGTGTGAAAATTGTGTTATCAGAATTTATAATAATTGAAAACAAAACTTCTCATAGGCACTAAACAGAAACAACAAATCAAAAGAGAGAGAGAGAGTATTACTTATGTAACATAGAATCAGAATCATGAACAACTTCATCAAATCGGACACGCAGAGGTGAGTGATGAAGCATGAGACATCCCAAACTCCGGCGCACACGTCGCTGCAAAATCCAAAACAGGAGAATTTACATAAGAAACAATAAAATTCGGATTCAAATACGAAATAACGATCAAAAAAATTGAATTTCTTTTTTGGCGAAGGAAAAAGAGATACTCGCAAGATCCTTGTAGAACGGCCTTGAAAGGAGCTGCAAATGCATTTCCAATGCCATCGCCGGCCTTACTAAGAACACTGCCCATATTTTCTACAACACTAAAACCGAAAGAAAAAAACGAGATAAGAAGAAGAAATATTTTTTAATACAGGGGTAGGATTGTCAATTTGTGGCTTCTATCACTCTCCTAGAAAAACTAGGGCTGTTCAAACTAAATTAGGCCTTATGGTAGTAATTTATGGTACTATAAATTAAGCAATGGTAGAGTTGAGTATGAGAGCTTTAGTAACACATTGTGTCGAATCTTTATTTAAAAAAAATAATTCAAAACGCTAACGCTAATTCAAAACATTGTTTTCGATAGAGGCTTATATCATCTTGAGTTGCAACTTTAGATTTACCTAACACATTGTATTTGCAATTTTAGCAACAAATAAACCAATTTTGTAGAGAGAAAGACATTCATTTATTTCAACAAGAAGAAACTCCCAAGATCTAGACACCTCTTTGGAAACAAAAGACGGTTAACTCAACTAGCATTTACACTATGTTTGGTTGGAGGATTTTGAAAGGAAAAGAAAGAAAATGATTTTCTCTCATTTTCCTCATCAAGATGGGAGGAATTTGGTTTTCTCTCTTAGTAATTTTACTTTCTCATTTTCTTTTCTTTTCCTCTCTAACCAAACATGAACAATTATTTTCCTTCTCATTTTCTTTTATTTTCCCTTTCAAATTCTTTGAACCAAACACAACAGTGTTAATGAGTAATCATTATTATTATTTGTACCACTTCTTATTTTAAGCATGATATTTGGTTGAATACAAACACTATGCAGATGGCAAAAAGTTCACCGACGACAATGGTCATGAACATAATCAAAAGAGTTTGACACTTGTTATCATAGTTATTACGGCGTCGCCTAGGCGTCCAGTCGGAACTTTTTTCTCGCCATACTCCTTCGACTCGACTTAATTTCCGGAGCTCGCCTAGTCGTCGCCGCAGAGACGCCTAGACGTCCAGTCGGTACGCCTGGGGCGATTTACGCCGTGAAATAAAAAAATTCCTAGCACAATTGATCTTAGATGTCCTTCTCTGGAGCTGAATTGGGTCGTTGTTCTGTCTGCCTCACTTCCTTCTTGACTTCGGAAATCCAGCCTGGGAATTACGATCGACTTATTGTTTGCGATCTTGTCGGATCAGATGCGAGAAGCCGAGAATTAGGATGCTAGCCGACCCGACCCGACCCTTCAATTTTGACGGAATTCTTAGCGACTAGCACTATTCCCGTATGACTATTCCAGTACGACTTTGTATTTAGGCTTTTCAACTTCTCTTAAATTCCCAGCCACTAGGACTTCCTATTTTCCTTTAAAATTAACCCTATTTGCGTTATGTTTTACTATATATTTTCTGTAATTAGAAGATGTCTTCTATCAGTGTTTTCATATTTTATTTTTTATTTTCTATTTCTGAAAAAACATATAATATAATATAATATTTTATATATATATATATATATATATATATATATATATATATATATATATATATATATATATATAATTTGTCGCCTAATTGTCGCCTAGGCGCTCGCCTAGGCGTCATGGCGATACATTGGCGCCGCGCCTTGCCTTGGCGCTGTGATAACTATGCTTGTTATACATTATTGATGTCTTTTTTACTCCGTATAAGGCAACTTTAAAATGCAGGTGTAAAGGCAGACACAAATAGAGTTGCAGACTCCCAAAGTTTTTTTTTTTTAAACAGTTACAAAACATTTGTTTGTAGTGTATTTAATTTGGTAAAAATGTAGAACACTTCAAATGGGAATTCTAATGGCTTTGAGCAAAATTGTTTTTTATGTCAAATTTGTGGAATTCGCAAAGGAGACTTCTCTCCGTTTCCTCAACAAAAATGGAAGGAAAGTTGTTTTCCATCTTGTGAGTTTAATTTATGCTTTCATTCTCGTTTGTTTCTATGTTTCTTTTAATTTTCTCTTTAATCAAACAAGAAAAACTATTTTTCATATCATTTTCTTTTCTTTATTCTTTCAAATTCCTTGAACCAAGCATAGTGTAAAACTCATTTTAAATAAACATTTGAACTAAATTTATTGAAAGATTCAAAACTTAGACATAAAGTCCATATTTGAAGAACTGATCTTGTGGAAAGTCACTATCTAACAGATATTATATATGAAAATAACGATAATTAAAATTTTAAAAAGAATATACTAAAGCATAAAAATACAGAGTAGTCTGTGTGTATGTGTTCTTCGAGACCATCATACTATAACAGATCTCTTCAACAACTAAAAAAAAGAAAGAAAATAAGTAAAAAGTATTGTTGAAATCCAAAGATAAACAATGAAATGAGATTTGTAAACCAGATGTAAATTCTAACAGTAGAATGTTATTGAGATTTAGGGTCTTAAAATGAATAACAAGAGTAAATTCAAACTTTATTAGGTAAAAATGATGGGAATAAACCGACACAGAAATTAAAGTTTAAGTGAAAACTGAAAACAGTGATAACAGATTGTAATAGGGTTTCTTATCTACATAAAGAAACAAGACATAATTTAAGTTTCAGAAATGTTTGACATAGAAACATGAAGCAACAAAATATCTTAGAAAGATGAAACAACAAAAGTGGAAATACCTAAAAATGGAAGAACATTAAAGAGAGAATTGACAGAAGAAAGTTGAGAGATGAAGATGATATGCGTATAAATGAATTTGACTTATTTAGCTTTTAGCCCAAATACAAGAATGTGAAGATGGGCCATGCTTAGAAATGAAATGTTACATTGTTACTCCCAAAAAAAGAATTAACATTTTAATTTTACATAGTTTAAAAGGGTAGCATTGTATTTGTGGCATTTTAGCATGTCGACACTTTTATGAGAGAATACTCCGTAAAACATACGAAGTATTATTTTGATAAAGTGTCATATTTTAGTACAAAGTATTATTTATGTAGATTTTCTAAATTTTCAATCTCAATATCTTCAAGAACGTTTATCAAGTTTTCTTTTCAATGAAGTTTTTCAAATCCATATGGGTATTCTCTTGATAACATAATATTAATTGCTCAATCATCAACAGTCAATAAAAATTCATACCTTTTCTTAAAAGCAATCTTCTTTCAAATGAGGAGTATGATTTAAACATAAAATTAAACTTTGGATGATATGTATGAAGTCTTAAATTAAGCATTATGTGAAAATGGCAAATCAAAATTAATTTCTATCTTCAACTTATAACATTCCCTCCAAAAATACCTCTAACTTTTAATTTTTAAATTTCATCATTTAGACATTCGGACAGAGCAATAACCCTAATTTTCAAAACTCAAATCTCTAAATTGGAAAATTAGCATTTAGAACATTGATAGATAAACAAGATTAGAACTCACGAATCTCTAAAAAATAAAAATAAAAAAGTAGAAAAAAAAGTTTGAGAATCAAGACTCAAAAGAAGTACCTTTAAAATCGATGCTTCAATCGCTACCTCTCGTCTCTGTATGCCAGTCGTAGCAGCCATGCGGCGGTTCTCTTTTGATCTTTTTCTTTGGTTTGGTTAAAGGGAAAGGAGAAAGAAGGAAGCAAAATAGGGAAGATGTTGGTTCATTAGTTTTGGGGACAATTAGTTCGAATGCTTTGAAAAATTGACATCAATACTTTTCTTTTTTTTTGAACTTATCTACAAAGTTTTCATTTTTCAAAATATTGCATTCACACCCTTTTCGATCACTAAGAGAAGGCATTAATGTCTACGGAGTATTTCTTTAAATTATTTTTGGCATACGTATTCATTTCTTATTTTATGTTTTTCCTTTTCTAAAACTTTTTTTAATCTCCTTGTTTCCCTTTCTTAGAAAAGTTTTTAAATTTCTTTTAAATTTTGTATAATATTTTTAAAAATTCAAAACTCTTTGTGTTTATTGAGATGAAAAAATATATACTCCATTTGTCTTAAATTAAATATTTTAACTTCTTTTCCAGAATAAAGTTTTTGGTAAATTCAAAAAAGAATATGAAAAAACGAAATGAAAAAAAGTGAAAAATCTAGAAAAATTAACGCCTAAAAAAGTCCTTAAAATTGGGATTTCAAAAAGGATATTAATTTTTTTGTTTGTTTTATTTCTTATTTTATTCCTCATTTTTAAGTTTTCAAAATAAGTTTTTTATTTTCTATTTTAGAAAACAAAAATAAAAATTTTTTGTTTAAGACGTACAAATGTAGCATACGTTAATTTTTTTTAAATAAAAACATTTTTAAATTTTAAGAACGTTCTAAAAACAATTTTTAGAAGAAGTTTAAAAATAATTGATCAATAAAAAAAGGGAAAAAAGCAAAAAATACATGAAAAATAAGAGCTGAGCACCAGTGCCCCATATGGTTTGGAAAAAAGACACCAATGCCACTCTTTTTGCCAGAAAAATAACTAAAAAATGATCAAGGGATATGTGAGCAACGTTTTGAAACTTTAGAATTAAGTTTTGAAAACAGGAAGAGATAGCGATGCTTATTTTTCAAACTATGAGGAGTACTGGTACTATTCGGCCTTAGTTTTGGATTAGATGGACTCCGATAATTACTAATAATACATTTTATTTAATAAAGACGAACCCCTCCTTTTTGAAAATATCGTGTATGGTATGACCTTGACTTGGACAACGGATCTAAATTAAATTAAAAGAGTAACCATGAACAACTCATCATAAAAATTGAATGCATGTAAGTTTACACGCTCATCAATATGCCCGGAGCTTCATACGTATTTTCAGTGCCCTTAGGATCATTTCTATAGAAAATTAACCTTACGGAAGTCTTTGTAAAACAGCTTAGAGAGTCGGGCAGAAGGGAATATCAACCATACGGAAGTGAGGGAAGCCTCTTCCAAGTCTTTACTTCGTGTGTCAATGTTTTATTTTACTATTTAGAGAGTTAATTTATATTTAGTTTCTTTCCTTTTTTACTGGTGATTTGATAAAAAAAGATTATTTTCACTATTTATTTTGTTAAACTTTTGAGGTAATTTTTAATTTTATAAATTTTATTCATTACTTCTAAGCCAATTTGTATACGGGCTTCAAAAAAAAAATTTGTATACGAAGTATTTATTAAATTAAAAATAATTTGTTATTGAAACATTATGGTAGAAGGACGGAAGGGAGAAAGACGGAGAGTAGCTTAGAATGTCATGTGGGTCATGGTGAAGTTTACACCATACTTTTTTTGCGTTTCAAAAATATTATGACAATTTAACTTTTTAAATAAATTGTGTAATACTTCGATCACAAATTGTAAAAAAAGTATATTTAGTTATGATATAGATTTAGATAGATCAAATTTTTATAACATTTAAAACTATATTTTATTTATGTCAAAGTGTTGCATAATTTAACCAAAAAAGTCAAATACTTGTAATATTTATAGACTTGAGGGAGTAAACTTTGATTTAAAGTTTTCGACTACTTCCTCCGTCCAACAATAAATTTCCTAGTTACTATTACGGCCTTTTGATAACCTATATTTGTTTACATATTTTCATCAATCATTTGACAAGATAAAATATTCTTGTCACATATTGTTTTGTAGAGCTTTTGACGTAAACTTGAAAAATATACTTTTTATTTTTTTATGGCATACTAATTCACAGATAAAGTAATTTTATAAAAGATGAAATTTTGTATGTTCGAGAAATTTACCATTGTGGGAAGGGAGTATTACGTAGTAAGTCATTAGTGATTTACTTTTTGATTCCCAAACTTTTATTCTGTTTACTTTTTTGAAGGATTACTTTGTTTACTTTGGTACAAATAAAACATTTCTTCATACTCCGTATTTGTGTAGAATTGGACTTTTTTTTTAAATTTCAATCTGGTAGGTACTGGACTAAAATTAAAGATAAGATACCACTTTCCTTCTTTAAAAAAAGGTGTGGAAATTTCCACAATATGTTCACATTTAAACCCAAAAAAGCAACGTCATAAAAGAAAAGAAAAACTACACTCTCTTTAATAAGTTTTAGAGATATGATATGAATTGTGAAATCACTGAAAAATGATAATACGTATTAGTTTTGAAATTTGAAATGAGATTGTTTGGAGAGATTTAGAATTATTATTTCTTCCTCGTTTTTTAAAACCATTTCTCTTATATTCTTTTTTTGTCTTTCCTAATATATTTTTACTTTCTATTAAAAAATTACTTTTACCCCTATGTTTTCTTATCCTTACCTATAACATCATACTTCTTTCACTAATAATTTATCCATCACATCTTATTTTTAAGCATTAGGGCAAAATTGAAAAGTCAACTCAAAATAATCCTTCTTTATTTTTGCCCAAGTGAAGGGGGCGTTTCCCCTCTTCCCGTCACCCTAGGCGTTGTCCCTCCCCTCCCTCTTTATTTTTTTTTCTTTTTTTTAATATTTTAACCGATCAAAATTTAACACATATTCATATCTAATCGCTTTCCATCACACTTATCATAACACATATTTTTCATCACTCTATATTATATATCTTTACACATTATCAAACTCCGTTAAGCCCGCCTTAACAGATAGTCAAATATAAAAGAAGAAAATAGGGGAAGAAATACAGGAAAAGTGAGGAAAAGAAGGAAAATACATAATAATGCACATGTGTAAATGTCCCCTTCCCCTCCCCATTTGCATATGGAATGAAATTGGTCAAAGCATCAACTTATTTTTCCAAATGGTTTTTCAATAATTATGTATTTTCTCAAATTTGTCCATAAAGTTAATTAATTTCCAAGACGATACTTGTTTATTAAAAATAATGCTCAGTTCTGTCCCTCAACTAACGGCCGTTAAAAGAGTGTTAAAACGACGTTATGTTTTATGCTACTTTCCCAAAATGATACTTTCTAACTTGGTGTTCTCTCAAATTGGTTCATTTTCAAAATAAAAATACATTAATTATAGAAAAATATAATTAACCACTTTGACTTTTTCCGATTAAAATTGGAGTAGTAAGTTTATACTCCCTCCATTCTTGATTAATTAATCACTTTTGACTTTTTCCGATTAAAATTGATAAATTTTGACCTCAATTTAAATAAAAATGATGTTAGATATTGATATAAAAATAGTTTTGTTAGATTTATTATATAAAATATTTTTAAAATATTATTTTATCTAATTAATATACAAAACATAATTTATTTAATTATAGGTCAAATATTAAAAACAATTGACCGAAAAAAATCAAAACTAGACAAATACCCAGGACTCGGTACTTTATATATACATATATATAACCCTCATTTTCTCTTCACAAATATAATTAATTAAAGGAGCAGTTCCGATCTAAACTTAAGCTTCTATAGGTACAATAGCAAAAATAGGTATACATGGAGAAGAAAGTATTCTTGTTTCTTGCCATTCTTGTGACAATACTCTCCGAGTTTGGGCATGGCGAGAGAATATTATATGGCCGTGCTAAAAACACAGTATTCGGTCAACATAATTTACAAACAAGTACTGCAACAACTAAAGAAGAATGGGATGAATTATTGTCAATTCCGGAAGTGGACGACGAGGGAAGCGGCGGCGGCTCCTCCACGTATGATGATGAGATTAGAGGCGGCCTTCCGGGGCAGCCAAGCGGCGGCGGTGGGAAGCCATTATCCTTCAAGCAGTATGGAGGGTATGTGAATGTGGACAAAAGGAATGGGAGAAGCCTTTTCTATTACTTTGCTGAGGCAAGAAAGGAGCCTCACACCAAACCACTGGTCCTGTGGTTGAATGGAGGCCCTGGCTGCTCGTCCCTCGGCGCCGGCGCCTTTCTTGAGATCGGTCCTTTTGGTGTCCATCCCGACGCCAAAACTCTCTACGCCAGAAAGTTTGCCTGGAACAGAGGTCTGTCCACTCTGCCCATATCTTAAAGTATTACATTGAAAAAAGACATGTTTTAGTAGTATTTACTGCAGATTTGACTGAAACGACATATGTATCATATAAAACTATACGTTGCAGTGGCAAATGTGTTATTTCTGGAGTCCCCAGCTGGTGTTGGTTTCTCTTATTCCAACACTTCCTCTGACATTGTTGAATCCGGAGACAAGAGGACTGGTAATAAATACTCCGTAATATATATATATATATATATATATATATATATATATATATATATATATATATATATATATATATATATATGGCTGAGCTAGCTACATCTCTTCCATTTTATTTCCAATTAGTTTAAAAATGCATCTTTTCTCATCCATCCATCGAATCCTTTGTCTCATGTCGATCATATTCATCATAGCTCAAGATTCGCTCAAGTTCTTATTAAATTGGTTTGAGCGATACCCACAATACAAGACTAGGAATTTCTACATTGCTGGGGAAAGCTATGCAGGTATGTATGTACCAACATGCCAAATTACAGCATTTTTTCTTTTGTGTTTTAGAGAATTATTATTATTCCACCGCCGTTGGTCTTTCTAATTATTACGTTATGCACAGCTAGTTTTTCAAACTTTAAAGTTTCACGAATACTCTTTCAAGTCATATTAGCATTTAATGGTTAGTCGGTTAATCCCTTAAGTCACAATTTAAGGAATTATTATTATTATTATTATTATTATTATTATTATTATTGTTATTATTATTATTATTATGATCATCATCATCAGGGAAAGGATCTCTTAACCTTGGAACCTCGGACCATATTCAAAATTTCTAACCAAAGGTACCTACTATATGGTGCTCCGCTCATAAATTTTATGGTTCCAACTAGAGGTGGCAATCGGGTCAACCGAATCGCTTTCGGGTTGGATTTTTTCGGTTCAGATATTTTTCGGTTATATGTTATAATCGGTTTGGATCGGATTGGTTAAATTTTGATTCGGATTTGATTCAGTTCCACACATTTTTTTGGTTCGGTTCGGTTTCGAGTCGGGTTAGATACGGTTCGGTTATAAATCGGTTCGGATAGATTTTGGTTCGGATACAATTTGAGTCAGATATATTTCAGTTTCAGGTCTAGTTTGGATAAGATATATTTCGGTTTCAGATCAAATATATTTTAGATATATATTATTTTTCTAATTAAAATTTTACTATCCATATTTCTTTTTATGTTTTATCAGATTTACCTATCTATCATCAATTCAATACCTCGTACTCCCTCCGTCCCCCTAAGATGTTCTCATTTTGAGGGGACGGAAGGAGTATTATTTTATATTTTTTTCTAATTATATTATCTCTACCCTAAATAATCATCCCTTTTAATTTTTACCTTTTAGTTATATTTTACAAATTTGGACTACAAATTATGAAAACATATACATTTAATTATGATATAAAATTATATAATTAAATTGATTTTAAAATTTAGTTTTGAAATATCAAATTTTTCTCGCATCTACTAATATACTTATGTTTATAAAAGAAAAGATAAAAGATAAATTCAAATAGTGTTATGTTCCATTTGAATATAATTTGGTAAAAATTAAGTAAAATTGGGTGAAATTAAGTGAATTTTATTCAATTAAGTGCAAAATTTATAAATTATTGAGTGCATTTGGTTGAAAATAGATAAAATTAAATTTAATAGAGTCAAATATAATTAATGTTACACCTAAATGAAGAGGGAAATTGAATAAATACAAGTTGATTATACCGTCAAAAATAATCCTGAACACGGAATTTGTCTTTGTTTTCATTGCTTGACATCACCTGATTCTCGGCAATGATAGCTTCTCCAAACCGATGCCCTTTCTATTCACGCCGCATCAACTTGCTTCTTTGAGCCTCGATCCAAGATTCATAGTCGGCAACTAGGGTTGCAAAGCCTAGCCCTTGTGTTGCCTCTGTCCCTTTGTTCCCTCACCGTTATCGCGTCAGAAAGATTGAAAAGCAAAACCAATAACTAAAGTAAGGGCCAAGGCCTGAAGAAACCGATTGTGTTGATCTAACAACATATTGCATAAATAAAAAAAATTGGATTAGCTATTGATTCTCAACCATAAATGAGTAGTGTGCAGTCAGTATATTTATACTCATGATCAATCTCAAGCATATCCAAAGATAGGTTCCAAAGGATATCTAATCTGCTCAAGCCTCTGCACCTCAAAATGATATAAACCAGTAGCTAGAAAATGAGAAGTCTCATGTTTTTTAACACAGGAGTTGCAAAGGCACTGAATTCTGATACAAAAAAGAAAAATTTGAAGCTTTGGTAAGGAGAACATAACACCTATTCACCAAAAGTGAAATTTTACAGAGAACTATTTTTTTATCAAAATAAAAAAAAAGTTTTATTTCACATTTCATTAAAAACAATACAAATCAAAGCCATTTACCAACCCATATAGTGCAAACAACATATCCTGCAATTATAAGGTTCGAATGGATTTGTATTTCAAGATCATATATTCATTTAATTTTCATCACCTCTATGTCCTCCAAATTCTCAAGTTCTCAAAAAAAATTCACCATTATAAAGCTATTTTTAAAAAAAGTGATCCTAATTCAATCTGCCAGAGTCCTTGGCTACGAAAATGTGAACAACTACCTCTAAAAACCACATTAAACAAATATGAAGTGTTAACTCCCAATAAACCTATCTTTCCACAGTTTGTCAGTTTCCAAACTGAAAAACATTTTATAATAGTGAGTAGTACCCAAATAAAAATAGACTCACTCTTGCAGTAATTTGTATCAACAAAACTATACAAAAGTCACAAACTGGAGATTCCTAATTTCGAATTGAACAAACTTAAGCTCTCTGTTCATGCTTCATGAAGAATCGAAAGACAAAAAAATGGATTTTAAAATTTTCTCACCCTCATGTGTCATCAACTTCAAAATCTGATATATGGAGTAATAAGGATGATTAAAATAGGTTTGGTTTTTTGGCTGCTTATTAGACCAGTTGTTATGTTTGAGTATATCCAATAAAATTATTATCACATTAAACTCATTTCTGATATAGAGTTGATGAAAAACCAATCTAAGGTGAAGTTTAGAGAATTAGCTTGAAAAATAGGCCTTTTTAGGATAGAGCACCACACACTTGCAATCATGGATCAGAGAAAAACACAGAAGATTAAATTTCAGGTTATAAATAGCCATATGTATAGTTGTATACCTTCAGGCACTTGATGTTTATTCTGTCTTGACAAAGCCGAACTTAGAACCTGCATATATATACCTCCCTGCAGCTTCAACTTCCTGCCTTTGATTGGCTAAATCATCATCTAATTGTGCCAGCAACTACAGAAATTCTGGAGCTGATGCACTGGCCTGCAATAAAACAAACATATATCAAGTTAGAAGAAAACCATTACTCTGTGTAGTATCATATTTACACAAAACAACACAAAGATTAGGTGATGTGTCATTTTTTACTACAATAAAAATTTACCCTTAATGGCTGTGGCACGAGGTTTTTAACTGACACATCTAAAAGTTCTAGCACCAGTCCACACACTCTTGCAAAAATTATCAGCTATTGACAGGGAAACTATTTTAGAGAAAGGGGATATGTTGATGACTACTTAGAAGGATGTTTTCATAGCAATCATATTACTATTTACTTTCAATCAAAAAATACATTAAACAAAAAAGCAAGGGTTCAGAATTAGTCTCTAAAAACACAAACTGAAAATTAAGAGACTATAAAATTGAAGATGCACATTATCACAATAACAACACCATAAAAATGCCACAAATTGAAAATTCATATCATCAAATTGACAAACTTACACGAAGTATAAATTGCCACTATTAAACAAGGATAGAAACACATCCATAAAACATACACAATACTACAAGAAGTGGATAATGAACACCAAATCAACACAGAAAGGAAAACTAAAGAAAAATCATAGATTTAAGATTATAGTGTACCCTGGAAAATAAATGTGGAAGGTGAACTTGGCTTTGTTTCTGTACCATCTCGTGACTAGTTTCTCACCGGGGGAACATCTCTAGATCATCTCCCTTTGCGTCCGTGCTCGATCACTGCATCTGCTTGTTGCTTTGTGCCTCAAAGATTTATGAACGGTAGCTAGGGTTTCGAACCACAACCCAGACGTCGTCTCCTTCCCCACAATTCCCTTCCCGTTATTACATCTGACGAATCGTAGATGACGAATTGAAGATTAAAACTCAATTCTCAATTTTTCGATCATCAATTCGTTGCGTGAAGTATCAGATGTATCGCTGTGAGGAGTTAACCGGTGAAGGTTTGCGTAAATCTGATACAGGGAGTACGTGGTGTAGTGTAATCCGGAGTTATACAAATGGATGGGACACTTGGACACTGTTATACTACATTGGACATTTTAAATAAATACCAGTAATTTTTTTTATTCATGGCAACACTTAAAAATGTGGAGAGGTCAAATACACATTAAATATTTACCACACTTAGCCATGTGTGGCAAAACAAATGTGGTAAAAAGCACACTTTCTTGTAGTGACTAAATGCTGCCACTAGAGAGTCTTTTCAAAATGCTAACACTAGCATCTAATTTTATTGACTAATATTGAGTGAATTGATTTGAAACTAATCAAATTAACTCTCAAATCAATAAAATTTATTGTAATGGGATGAAATTAGGATAAAATATAGTTATTCCATACAATTCATCATATAATTCTTTCGTCCATAAAAGAATATCACACTTGACTATTTAAAAATTATGGAAATTTTATTTGTTTGTGCGTTATCATTTATATGTATAACTTATCTTTAATTTCTACATATAATAAATTTAAAGCATGAAATTTTGTACTTTTTTTCAAGAAGATAATCCATTTTATGAGGGAATGAGCAATTAATGCGATTAGTTCAAATGGTAAAATAAAAGTAAAATTTTAAAATATTATATGCTTATTGAAAGGCAAACATAGTTCTGAATATATTGATTTTAGTTCTAATCGGGTTCGGATATTATCGGTTTTAGATCTAATCGATTTCGGGTTAAATCGGTTCGGATATTATCGATTTCGGATCTAATTGGTTTCGGATTTAAATCGGATATGAATTATTTAGTTTGATTTCGGTTCGATTCGGATTATTTTGGGTTTTCGGTTATAGATCGGATCTTCATTTTTGGGGTCATTTTGGTTTCGGTTTCGGATATTTCGGTTTGGGTAATCGGTCCCGATTCTGTTTTGCCAGAACCCCCTACCCCTCCCACAACACACTCCCTGTCCTCCTTCCTATTTCGCCGATTGACTACATCAATTTTAAGAACGGAGCATCGTAAGTGCCCCACGTCATAATATGACCAGAGGTTCTAAGATTAAAAGAAATATTTTGTTATTATTATTATTATTATTATTATTATTATTATTATTATTATTATCAATATTATTATAAGAGCTGATGAGTGGTCTAAAACTACCTGATCGAGATATATGCTTTATTATGGTAATGGATCATAGGGTACTACATCCCAGAGCTTGCAGATTTGATTGTGAAGAGAAATAATATGCCCAATATGACCTTTAAGATTCAGCTAAAGGGAATTATGGTATGTTTATGTGTATTATTCCTAGCTGGAGCTAGCTGCGTCGTCGTATATTACATTATTGTTATATCAATCTTAATTATTGCTTGCATTGGTTGATGAAATAAAGATAGGGAATGGGTTGATGAGTGATGCCACATTGGATAGAGGCACCATTGACTATATGTGGAGCCATGCCCTCATCTCCGATGAAACTCACACAGGACTGCAAGAACACTGTCTCCCCAAAAACCACGACAAAAGAGCGTGCGATCATTTCCAAAGTGCAGCAAATAGAGAGCAGCAGGGAGATAATATGATTGACCCTTACAACATCTATGGCCCCGTCTGCTTTGATTACTCCCATAATCGGTCATCCGTACAGTTCAACAAACGGCGTTTCGGATACGATCCATGTGAGCAAGACTACGTCCACAAGTACCTCAATCTTCATCATGTCCAACAAGCCTTGCATGCCAACACCACCAACCTCCCCTACCCTTGGGACCTCTGCAGGTACGTCTGTTCTAATCTTTCGTCCCATAAAGATATTTCCGTTTTGACTTTTAATTAGTAAATTTAAGGGAGTGATAGTTTTGTATTGAATTTCCAAAAATACCCTTGATGCGATGGGGAAAGTTAGAATTTGATGGGTATCGATAAAAAGGCATAATAAGATAGGTAGGTTAAAAATCACTAAGGGTAAAAGTGGGTTTTTAATCGAAAAGAGTAAGAGATTGTTTTGGGACAAGAAAAAAAAGGAGCAGCCAAAGTTTATAAAATTGAGGAGTGCTGGGGGGACCCCAAAATTTTGACACCAAATGCAGACCAAGGTCAATGCGGACATACTCTGAAACATACTCCCTCCGTCCACATTTAAAGTTCCCGCTTTGACTCGGCACGGAGTTTAATAAAAGTTAAAATTTCCATTGACTTTCCCAAAATACCCCCAACCCTACCCACGCCCCATCCATACTCACGCCCCATCCATATTGAGTATGGACTGCCAAGACCTGTCCCAAATTCCTTCAGTCCTACCCCATTCCAGAGAGAAATTCCGGCGAACTCTGGCCAGTGTAAAATTCTGGCGACCCGAATAAGATGAAAAAGATTTGATTCAGATTTCCTCATCTACCTCGAAGAAGATGAAGATGTAAAAGATCTGAAGACGATTCTTCGTCGATTTACAGATCTGAATCGATTTTCTCAGATCTAACGACGAGGAAGAAGAAGAATAGAAAGGACAAATCGAAAGAGGGGAGAAGAGGAAGAAGAAAAAGTAGTAGAAAAAGAAGAATAGAAATGAAAAATCGAAAGGGGGAAGAAGAAGAAGAAGAAGAATCAGAAGGCGATGAAGATTTGAAGGAAAATTCAGAAGGGGGAAGAAGAAGAAGAATGAAGAAGAAGAAAGAAAAGAAAAAATCTGGGAAGAAGAAAAGAGAGAGTGAGAGAGAGAGAAGGAAAGAAGAAGAATAGAAAAGAAGGGGAAAAGGCACTGACGGGGAAAAGGAAAAAAAAGAAAGAAAAAAGGGAGAGGAGAGGAAAGGAGAGGAAAAAGAAAAGACAAAGAGGGGTAATTGAGTCTTTTTAATAAGAGAAAGTTGTCAAAAATAGAAATGGGAATTTTAATTGTGGACATCCAAAAAAGGAAAGTGAGAACTTTATTTATGAACGGAGGGAGTATGTAGTTTTCCTTTAATTTCTGAGCTGATGATCAGGTTTGTTTAGTTAATATATCATCAATCATTATGACAACGAAGTATTTGTTTTACATAAATTTTTGCATGGTTACGTTGTTGAAGTGAGGAGATAAAAGAATGGAAAGACAGCCCATCAACGATGTTCCCTATATATAAAAGGTTGATGGCTTCTGCTCTTCATATTCTTCTTTATAGGTAAGCACAACGTACGACGACACAATATTGCATGCATCTTACCGTAATAATAATAATAATAATTTAATGCGGTAATATAATATATAATTGTTTAAATAATTATTCAAGTAATTTAAAGCTCAATGTTAAAGGTGTATTATTTGTGCATATATGGCAGTGGTGATGCCGATTCTGTTGTTCCTGTCACATCTACTCGTTATGCTCTTGATGCTATGAACCTTACCATTTTGAAACCTTGGCATCCATGGCAGCATCCCACCCACAAAGTAAGGACGTGAATACGGACTATACTACTGCCTCCGGTCCAAAAAGTCTTTCCTGTTTTGATTCTTTTTAGTTAAACGTACTACTCTTTGACTTTAAATTGTGACAAAAGTATAGTATTAAATTATAATATAAATTAAACATAATAATTGGGAGTAAGTATAAAACTATTATATTTGACTATCTTACGTGTGTGTGTGTGTGTTTAATTGGTGTTGGTTGGTTGCAGGAGGTTGCCGGATACAAAGTGGAATATAAGGGTATAACTTTTGCCACGGTTAAAGGGGGTGGGCATCTAGTTCCGCAGACCAACCCGCTCAGTGCCTTCACCTTGCTCAACATGTTCATAACCAGAGGTGGTGCTCATCATCACTAGATCGAGCTCCTTGTTTTTAATTTAATTTAATTTGGACATTATTATATGTGAAATTTACTCAAAATAGCACCTAAACATATGGAGTTTACCTAAATAGCACAAGTGGATCTCTTTTTTTCCTTTTAATAGCACTCTTTTTTTTATACGAACTCCCAAATCTACACTTTTTCCCTTTCATCGTTGGACTCCAAAAACATAAAAGAATACTTTCCTAGAATCATTCATTGACTGCATTAACTAAAATTCACACCCATAATCTTCATTTGGTTTTAAATTGTTAGAATTTTTTGTACGGATTACAACGGACGGGAAGATGAACGGCCCCGGTAATAAAAATAAATAAAATTCTGAATTTATAACTTATTCAGAATATTACAAATAAATAAAGTTGAAAAAATTTCTATATCTTCAAACGGCCTTGTTGTACGAGGACATTAAGGACTGGACAGCGAGGACGTTAAGCACTGGACAGCGAGGTCTTTAAGCACTGGACAGCGAGGTCTTTAAGCACTAGGATAGAATGCAGCGAGGTCTTTATGAACTGAACCTGCAAAAACACAACACCGTGGAAGGACAGCGGAGTCGCCGGAGCTGTCCTTAAGGTAGTAGTGCCCGCCTACCGTACTGGAAAAACGTGGGCACTCTCCTCCCAAGATAAAACCGCTATCGTGTGTGGAGATTGTACGGATCAACCACACACCAACGAACAAGAACAACGTAGGAACGTCGGCGACCAAAAACTTTAAAGGGGATGGCCGGAAAATTTGGCCAGAAATTCAAGAGCTCTCTTTAAAAGAAAACAAAAAAAAATGTTCTCTCTTTTCCTTTCTCTCTTTCTCACGCAAGGCACACAAAGGAAAAAGGAGTGAGCTTTGAATTTTATAATCAAGGAGTTTAGAGAAAAAAATGTAACTCCCACCATTAACCATTGGAATTAATCATGGCATTTGTGGTGTGTTAATGGTGATTAATTAGCCATTAACACGTCCGTTACGCTACGCTTCGTTTAAAATTTGTCCCGAATGATTGGAGATTAATGGCCAGTTAACTCCGTAAAAATGGACTAATTTTAAACAATACGTAAAATTAATAAAAGAAGATTGGTTCAGTAAAATTGCAAAAATTGCAATCCTCACCATATTCTTTTATTAACGGGTTAACTCTGAGAATCAATTTCTCATTCACCCTCTACCATTTTTGGCGTAATATTTGTCAAAACATATTGGAACTGAGAAGTCCGGATCCGGAGAAGTCAGGATCCGGAGAAGTCCGACTTCCGAGAAATCTGGATTCCGAGAGATCCGAATTCCGAGAGGTCCGAATACCGAGAAATCCGAACTTGAGAAGTCCAAATCTTTTGGTGACCGAATCCCATACTAATTGGGATTGATCTTGATTTATTTGTTTCCTAGTTTGATTATGATTTGTTTCCTTGTAGGATTTGTATTCCTTGTCTATTTTGGAATCATCCTCTCCTATAAATAAAGAAGAAACCCCTTGTAATTAGACAGAACAATTCAATATACAGACTATTTTCTCCCTTATTAATTTCTACATGGTATCAGAGCGAGATTCCTAGGGAGAACCCTAATCTAGACAAACGGCGGTCCATCACCGCTGGAATTTCCTTCTCGACCGTCGACATGGCAGAAGTAGAAGAAAATCTCGTCGGCAAGCTCTTCGAAGAGGAAGAGAAGATCTCTACGAAGGGAAGTTCTTACGAACTCAAGAACGCAGACACACCTGGATTAATTATCACCCAAGTAAAACTAAACGGTGATAATTATGAAGAATGGGCTCGTGCAATGAGAATTGCATTCCGTGCAAAACGGAAAATTGGATTCATCGACGGATCCATCCCTTGTCTAGAAGAGGGAGATGAAAACTATGAAGATTGGTGGATTGTGAATGCCATGTTGGTCTCATGGATTTACAACACAATTGATGGCAGCCTGAGAAACTCCATCACACAGGTAGAAGAAGCAGCAGAACTATGGAAGGACATCCAAGATCGTTTCTCTGTTGCAAACGGTCCTCGAATTCATCAACTGAAGAAGGAACTTGCAAATTGCAAGCAAAACGGTCAGTCCATCGTTACGTACTTTGGAAAATTAAAAACCATATGGGACGAACTCGGCGATCATGAAAAGATCCCCGCTTGCAAGTGCCATGGATGCAAAAGTGGGATAAGCAAAGCGCTTGTCATCCAACGCGACAAAGAAAATGTTCACCAATTTCTGATGGGATTGGATAACGAAGGATATGGGAGTCTACGATCTAACATCATCGCCACAGAACCCTTGCCACCACTGAATAGCGTATACTCCACCATCATCCAGCAGGAAGGGGTCTTGAAGACTACTCAAGAGGAGGAACGTAACCCGGTGGACTTTGTCGTCACCTCCAAATTTGACTATGACGCAACTAAAGATTTAAAATGCAAACATTGTGGACTAAGTGGACACGAGAAGAGTGGTTGTTTTCAACTCGTTGGATATCCTGAACGGTGGGGAGATCGCCCACGTGTCCTGAACCCGGGACGAGGTAATGGCCGCGGCAACAACACAGGGGGACGGCGCGGCGGCAGGGGGGGCAACGCCGGCCGAGGTAACCGCGGCGGAGCTGGTGGCGGTCCAGCAAGCGGACCGGCGGCACACACGGCTCAGGCCAACGCAACGGATGGAGGGCGTGAGCTCCATCAACCGAATCTACCTTCTCTCACAACCAATCAATGGAATGCTCTTATGGGACTCTTAAACGAGAAGGATTCGGGTATGGAAAGTAAATTTTCAGGTATGACTAATACTTCTTGGATCATTGATAGTGGAGCCAGTCAACATATGACCGGTGATAAGAAGTGTCTTGAAAATTTAGAAGCCATAAAACCTTGCTCAGTTGGCCTACCAAATGGAGATTGTGCGATAGCCAACCAAAAGGGGAGTGTGGTTGTGGATGATTTGATCACCTTAGAAAATGTTTTGCTAGTTCCTCAACTCAACTGCAATCTTATATCTGTCTCACAACTTCTTGAGAAAAAGAATTTAATTGTCAAGTTTAATAATAAAATTTGTATTATACAGGACTATATCTCGAAGATGGTGATTGGAATGGGTGAGCAGGCTGAAGGACTATATTATCTCAAGAAAGGTGTGAAGGACAAAGTCTG